AAAATCAATGAGTCTTTTATACGACGTCATGAGAACCACAAAATCGCCTGCTGCGAGTAGGACCAAAAACCTTTGATTGGGACTAATCGTGACTGCTCGCTAGTGACAGGACCCTAGATCACTGCAAAGCCGTTTCTTATTGGCTGTCCCAGACCTGCAAACGAAACCCCAATTTCTTCCTGACCGACTGACAGCGAGGGCTGGTGGTTACATACCGGAAGTAGCTGTCCGAAAGGCGGTCTCGACTTTCTTTTTTATCATTCTTATTACTTTGTTCTTCCATTCATTGGCTTCTTTCGAAAATGCCGCACGCATATTCGGGACCGGCGGCGATGCCCTCCGCACCGTCCGATCCGCCGACGATACACCAGCAGCGGCGACTTGGGTCGCGCAGAGATTAAAGACAGCCCGCGTCATCATGACGTCACCAACATACCTCCGCGACATCTCCTTCCAACGGCCGTCGCCACCCGCCAGACGTTCTCCATCTGCACTTACCGAGTCCGCGATCCGGACCTGCTTCTAACGCGTACGATCTGTCCGGCGAGTCGGAACGATCTCCCAGCGTTCATTCCATGACGGGCGAATCGCCGCAAAACTCGGCCACTTTTCTCCGCCTATCCTCCATCTCTTCAAAACAATCCTCCGTCTCCTCCTCCCCCATCCCTAGCCCCATCGGCGCTTCGCCTTCCCCCTCCGCCTTCTCCGTCTCCTCCGCTTCCTCCTCCTTCTCCTCCCGCCCTCGAACCGCGCCCAGCAAACGGGGCCAGTACAGCCGTTCGATCTCCATGGGCGCCGGGATGGCGAGAGCCGTTGGATCTGTCACGAGCCATCATCAAGTGGACAATAACGATATCTACGCCTTCTGCCCGCTCGCGACTTCCGCGGGAGGCATCCCCACGCCGCGCTCCCAGAGATTAAGCGAGTCAGGCCTCCCCGGATCGCGCTCGTTCTCGTCTACGATTGGTATTCGGCGGCGCGGCCTACCGTGGAGCCTCTTAAACTCGCCGCTTATTTCCGCGGTTGCTTGCGGTAACGAGGAGGAGATCCGCGACGCGGTTTACTGTGTCAGGAGAGCACTCAAGGGCTGCCCGGAAAACAAAGAAAGGCTGATCCGATCAGGAGGAATACCTTTTCTGGTCAGTCTTATGAAAGTTCCTGATCCCCTCACAGTGGAGCATGCAGTCACAGCGATTTTCAACATCTGCCGGATGGAAGCCGGGCAAAAGGAAATTTTCTCCGAGGGGGGGCTGGAGTCTCTTGTGGACGTCCTCCGGGCAGCAGAAAACAACGAAGCTGCCCGGGAAAACGCGGCGGCGGCGATTTTCTGCCTGGCGAACACAGAGGAACGAAAGCAGCTGGTTACTGAGAGAGGAGCGTTACCACCGCTGGTGGGGTTGCTGCAGACTAGTAGTGTGAGAGGGCAAAGAGATGCTATTCTGACCATCTGGAGTCTGGTTAGGTGGCTCTGTGCGTGCTCTCTTTATGGCTTCCCGGGTGACACAGCAGCGGGTGATGCGGGGTGTCATAGTGAGGCAACAGCAGCAAGAGCCGGAGCAGGAGCAGGAGCATCAGTAGCAGCAGCAGAAGTAGGAGCAGGAGGAGCAGGGGAGGGGAGGAGGAGAGAAGCAGTGATGCCACAGAGGCAGCAGATGGTTCAGGAGGCAGCAGGGGGGCAGCAGAGGGGACAGTGGGAAGGAGAGCAAGGAGGTTAATAAGGAGCGGGAAGAGCAGGATGAAGAGGAATCCGAACCTGTGAGAAAATCCGTCACTGTCGCTGATTTCATCGCCACTGGTGCAGTGCCTGTTCTCATCGGGCTCTTACAGTCGTCGGATCAAGGGCTGGAGGAGCGATCAATGGCCATCCTTTCTCTCCTCTCCAAGTTCCCGAAGGCCGGCGGGCCATCTGGGAAGCAAATGGCGTGGAGGGGGTTTGTGACGTGCTGGAGATGTCGTCTCAGAGGGCAAAGGAGGAGGCAGTGGCAACGCTGCTACGAATGGCTGGGAGTGACACGCGCGTTAAGGCGGTTTTGGTTAGGGAAGGGGTGATCCCTGCGCTGTATAAGATTCATAAGGAGAGCGAGGGCAATGCAGGGGTGAAGGCTAAGACTCTGCTTGACATGCTGCGGACCACCTGGAAGTAACTTTTGAGTTACTCCACTCATTCTTGGCACTGTATAACAATACATAGGTCTGGCAGGGTGGGGGTAGGGCCATTTTAGTCTCCCTCGTCGCTTGCTCAGGACTGGGAAAGTGAGGTAGCCGATCTTAGTCAACTCACAAGGGACTGTCACTTTTCTGCTGTGTATGAGCGACAAAGGGCGGGCAAGGTTGATAGCTCTCTCTGTCTTAGCTTTCCATTTGCTCATTGAAAGTGAATGAAGATAATTTATCTGACTCGGGCGCCTGTACTGGTGGTACCTTCTAGTTGAACTGGGACATTTTTAGTGTTATTCAGTCATAATTTACCTTCCTGCATGGATTTTGCACCATTGCAAAGTGCTCAAGATTATCGTAACTCAACACTCTCCAGCACAAGACCAACATCAGCGCCAAAAATGATCACAGTTAAAAAAATCTACACCCGCTATACACACAAAAGGTGTCTGCCTTCAGAGGAGTGAGAGGTGCGAAGGGCCTCACCAGCACACACAACACCACCAGACGAAAATCTCAGCGCATGTTGCATCAGCCGCAGCATAACCCAGTGAAATCCTTCTCAAAACGGTTTGCCCTACAGGCTGGCATAGACCCTCCTCCCTCACTCCCCACCTCCGATTTGTCACTCCCAAACCCACATTCCCACCCAACCAATCTACAGTTTTATTTGAATTAGTCTCGGCACTTGTCCACTGCCCCTTCATCCCCTGCAAATCCCCCAAACCCTCTCTAGCATTTCGCTAGAGAGCGCACCCTCCCGTTGAAGGCAGTTCGAGCGAGACCATGACGTGGGACTTGCCGGCCTGTCCTCTCTCTCCTGTCCCTCCTTTACTTTCAACCACTCAGCACTTGGCGCTCCCAGCATCCTCCCGTTGAGCAAGAGGCAGCTCAAGCGAAACCATAAAGTGGGACTTGCCGGCCTCGCGAATGTACTGCACGTCGCCGTTCATCAGCTTCACAATCTTGCGGCAGATGCTCAGCCCCAGCCCCTCCTGCGACTTGCTGTGTGCGTCCGCCCGGTCAAACATCTGGTGGATCAGATCCTCTGGAAGGCCTTCTCCTGCGTGGCTCACCCTGGAAGAGAGAGGTGGCAAGCAGGGGAGAGAGGGGAAGTTGGGTTGAAGAGGGAGGGAAGTGTGTTAAGGAGAAGGCAGGTGCCCAGTCCCAGCCCCTCCTGTGAGTTGCTGTGTGCATCGGCACGGTCAAACATCTGGGAGCCCCTCTCCTGCGTGGCTCACCCTGGAAGAGGAACGGGAGACAAGGAGGGACAAGCAGAGGGGAGAGGGGATAAGCAGGTGGCGAAAATGGGGCAGGAAAGGTTAAGAACAGATGTGAGAGCCGCTTGGACCTCCTAGTTGATTGAGGACGAAGGTGCACCAGCCGAGACAGGCAGTGCAGGCAACACTATTCTGAACTGCACTCATCCAGGCAGCCTGGTGGGCATGGCGACACAGCCTTGACCTCCCCCACGCACCTACTCGCTGCACTACAGGGCTCGCACTTGATCGCACAGACCATAGACTTGCTCAAGTTGATCGGCATTGACTGCATTGACTTGCTTGAACTCAAGCTAGACCACGGTAATTCCTCCCAGCAGCTTGGTAGGCGTGGGCATAACTTGGACCTCCACCCACCCACTGGCCGGGTGAACTGCATTTCATTGAGTTGATTGCATATACTCACTAGACCATATTGACTGCATTGACTTACTTGAATTCCAGCTTCACAACAGTGACTCCTCCCGGCAGCTTGGTGGGCGTGGGCACAACCTTGACCTCCACCCACCCACTGGCTGGGGTGAACTGCACGGCGTTCAGCAGGAAATCTGCCAGCACCTGCTGCAGCCGCACCTGTTAAATGGGGGAAGCCCGGGAAAAGGGGGGAGAATGAGGGAGGGGAGGGTGGGGGGAGGGAGAGGGGAAGAAGAGGGAGAGACGGAACAGAGAGAGGTTAGGAAAGACGTTGTGGACAGAGGCATTGTGTGACAAAATCCGTGGTTCATTGGGCCGGGAGAAGTTGTGTTAGAAGAAGTTTCATTTGCATCATAAACAGTTGGGAAGGTAGACATGAAGGGAAGCATAAGGTGGAGTGTGGGGGAGTCAGGGGTAGAAGGTAGGAAAAACGGGAAGCATCACAACAAAGCTGAAAGGAGGGAGAGGGAGATATGAGGTCGTTTTGGCGGTTTATTTAGACCCTTTTTTAGCTGTTCCTGCACATCACAGCGTAAGTTGATACCACTCTGGATCGTACCTGGTCGCCGAACACGTTCATGGTCTTGAACTCGGGCGGGGTGTCACAGAAGAGCTGCAGGCCCTTGCGAGAGGAGGAGATCATGCCCTGGCTGACGACGCTGTTCATCACCGTCGCCATCATGAACTCTGCTGTGTCCAGCTCCAGGTAGCTGGAGGTGGGAGGAGACAGGGGGGATTATAGAAGAACGCAGGGAAGAAGGGGAAAAAAAGAGGAGAAAATCATGCCCTGGCTGACAACGCTGTTCATCACCGTTGCCATCATGAACTTCGCTCTGCTGTCGTCATCACCGCTGTGTCCAGCTCCAGGTAGCTGTGGATGGGACCAACAGCAGGGGGGATGGGGAGGGGAGGAGGGAGCCGGGAGAGGGGAGAGGGGAGAGGGAGGAAGAAGGGGAGAGGGAAGAGGGGAGAGGAGAGAGGGGAGAGGGGATGGAGAGGGGAGAGGGAAAGGAAGAGGAGATCATGCCCTGGCTGGCTGGCTGTTGCCATCATGAACTCCATCGTGTCAAGCTCGAGGTACCAGACAAGGGGAAGAAAAGGAGCAGAAGAGCCAAGGGAAGGGTTCATAGATAGAGGGCTCATCAGGAGTGACTCTCCATGGACCATTGAAAGGAAAGTATCGCTATCTGGTTCAGAAGTTAACTCCAAAAACCTTGTGAAAAGGAAATATCATTCGTGGACTGGACTGGCTGAGTGCCATGGTGTTCATTCTCCACCCCAATCCCCCACCTGCACTGCACCCTTCCTCGATGCTAGCCAGGTCCATGTCATTCAAGAATCCGCCGCAGCTGCTTCTCGCACATGGCGCTCGTACTCCACCAGCTGCTTCCACACACCCACAGTCCCCAGCACGCCCCCCCACACGCACTCAACCCTTCGCCAGCGGGTCTTGATCCCCTTCGCCTTGCCATTCCCCTACACACCCGGTTACCAGCATACTTTTCACACACCCACAGTCCTCAGCACGCGCCCCCTCTCCCCCTCCCCAGCACTCACCCTTCCTCGATGCTAGCAGGTCCATGTCATCCAGGATCCGCCGGAGCTGCTTCTCGCACATGGCGCTCGTCTCCACGAGCTGCTTCTGGGCCTCCGTGAGCTCCGTGGCTCAATGAACGACCGCGCAAACTGATGCCGTCCAGCGGGTTCTTGATCTCCTGCCGGATGTACGCCAGCTCCTTCGCCTTCGCCTCTGCCACCTTCTCAGGCGGCACTTCTGCACCGTGAGCGCTTGCTGCAGCTCCGGGGAGGCGGTGTGGAGGAAGCAGAAGACGCCCGTGAATGGCGCCCTCCGCGTCCGTGCGCTTCTGGGCCGTCAGCAGCACCTCCACCAGCTTGCCCTGTGGGAGTCGAATGGGGTTGCAGCGGAGGAAGAGGAGGGGAACGAACCGCTGCCAGCTTGGTGCATGGTACATTTGGGACTAGATAATGCAGTGAGGCGAGGCAAAGCAGCCGCCTTCTAACTAAACTAACAGTGTCTTGCATTCTCTGTTTTTATTAGGATTCTAAAAAAAAACAGATTCAGCCGCCTTCCAACTAAACTAAACAGTGTCCTGCAGGAAGTTTAAACCCGCAAGCTAGAGAGAAGCTTCATCGCCATGAGTGGATTGCAAACTTTTAAGCTAGAAAAAACGCACCTGGCGATCCAGGAAGGAGAAGGGGAAGCGCTCCGTATCATTCCCGTCCATGGCGTTGTTGAGGATGATCATGAGCTTGGTCATGGCGTCGCTGCTCTTGAGGCGGCACAGCGCGCCAAAGACGTCCCCGGTGAGCATCTTGCCCATCACCTCCTCGCGCTTCAGCCCTGCCAGCTTCTCCATTGCGGGGTTCCACTCCGTGCAGTACCCCAACTCTGGTGTTTTAAGGGAAAGAAGCGCGGGAGTGGGGGGAGAGGAGGGGAAAACGAGAACGTGTGAAGGGAGAGAGGCACGTGTCCACCACGTTCCCCCTACCACCTTCCCTTCCGTTCCTTTCACCTGTCCCCGGAAGCACCTCGGACCCACCCCATACGCGCTCTCAACGTGCGCGTATGGGGGATGAAGGGAGGAACGAGCAGAGATAATGGGGTGAGATACGTGCCCGCACGAAGCACACGCCCACCACAATCCCATTTTTCTTCCCCTTCTCCAATCACAACGTCCATGAACGAACCGAGGCACTCCAAATGCACCTCAACGTGCGTCAACCGCCCCACAAACACACACACCCAACGCAATGTGATTGAAAGAAGTGTGTTGAGACGTCTCAAAAACACGTCCATGAACGAGCCGAGGCCACTCCAAACGCAACTCAACGTGCCTCAACACGCCCCACAAACACACACCCCCAACGCACGGGACCTGCCCTCGCGAGTGCCTCACCGTCGGAGCCAAAGATGGGCGGGATGAGCGAGTTGTGGGAGAGCACGATGGTGGAGTAGTCGCCCTGGATCTTGGTGAACCTCCCGTGCTGCCCTATTTACCCCTCCTCTCAAGACAAGCCCCCTCCCGACTTCTCACATCCCCAAACACCCCTCAACACCTGCCCAAACACTGACCGTCAGAGCCGAAGATGGGCGGGATGAGCGAGTTGTGGGAGCGCACGATGGTGGAGTAGTCGCCCTGGATCTTGGTGAACTTGTCCATGACCACCCTTCTGCCCCGTCACGTCCTGCCCCACGAAGCAACACTCCCACCACGTTCTCGTTCCCCTTCCCCTTCCCTGTCCCCTTCCCCTTCCCATTCCCTTCCATCCTTCACACGCCCACAGATGCACCCCAAACCCACCCCAGACGGACCTTAAAAAGAACCCAACCGCACCCGAAACGGCCCAACCGCACCCGAAACGGCCCAACAACACACACCCTAAACGCCCGCAACCCGCGCTAGCGTGGGACTGACCGTCGGAGCCGAAGATGGGCGGGATGAGCGAGTTGTGCGAGCGCACGATGGTGGAGTAAGTCGCCCTGGATCTTGGTGAACTTGTCCATGACCACCTTCTGCCCCGTCACGTCCTGCCCCCACGAAGCACACTCCCACCACGTTCTCGTTCACGTCACGGCTCGCGCACGCGTTCACGACGAGGATGACGGGCGTTTCTTCTCCTTCTGCGCGCCCCACGTGCGCAGCTGCACCTCGATGTTCTGCTCCTCCTCGCCTGGGGGTGTGGGTAGAGGGGAGGGGGGATGGGGCGGGGCAGGCAGGCGGGGAGGCAGGGAGGAGAGAGGGAACGAAGAGGGGAGGGAGAGATAACGGGGAAAGTAGAGGGGAGGCACGGGGAAGGGGAGAACGGGAAGGCACGGGAGGGGGGGAGAGGAGAAGGCAGTGGAGAGGGGGAGCGACTGAATAGATGCGGAGAGGTGTGCATCCGCTGCTATGTGTCCTGACGTGAGAGAATCAGGGTACCCGCCTTGCACCGCGCACATACCTTGCAGCGCGAGGTAGAGAACGCGCTCGACGACCTCCTTGGACTCCTCGTGCACCAGGTCGTGCACGAGCGACCGTCCCCATGGGCCTCGCCCACAGGCAGCCCCGTCAGCTCCAATCACATGAACACACTCTCCCCCCCGACTAGATAGCATACATACATTGTTTGCAGGGAGGGGTATAGAGAACGCACCTTGCAGCGCGAGATAAAGCACGCGTTCGACGACCTCCTTGGACTCCTCGTGCACCAGGTCGTGCACTAGCGACCGTCCCATGGCCTCGCCCACAGGCAGCCCCGTCAGCTCCGACAACCTTGGCGTTCCAGCCGTTGATGCACCCGCTGGAATCAAACGGCCAGGATGGGCGCCGTGGCCGTCTCAATCAGGCGCACCATCTCATTCGCAACGGTGCTGAGCTCGTCCATCCCCTGCAGCTTCAGGTCGTTCAGGCCGCGCGTGGATCATCGTCTTGGTCTCGGAATCGTCGATATCCTGGAAGCTGCCGCGGAGAATGAGCTGCAGGGAGTGAATCGCGTCCATCTCGACGTCCCTCCCAGGGGAGGGGAGCGCTGCTTGACGACCTTCGAGGAACGCGGCAAAGGACGAGCGCGGGTGCATGCGCTTGGGGTCGTCCCTTGTCTTCCGGGTTGTGCCTCTCGCCGCCCCACTTGACCTCCTTCTCCGCGTGCGACCGGAACCAGAACAGGAAATCCTCTTCCGTGATGCGCGCCGCGAGCCATACCGCACACGGCGTTCCCAAGGGTCTCCGCGTTGGGATACCCAGCGTCCGCGAGACTGTCCGTAGACAGACCGGTGGAGTCCTTATGCTGCTCCAGCAGCCAGGAGGCAATGTCCTGAATCTGCTGCTCCGTAGGGGTCGTTCCGAGCAGCCAGAACCGGCCGCCGTAGAACAGCGCCGCGCCGTCGCACTTGACGAGATCCATGATGGTTGGGCGACTGCGAGACGATCCCAATGGGCGCGTCGCGCAGCAGCATATCGCACAGGAGCGTCTGGGTGCGGAGAATGTGCTTCTCGCGCAGCTGAGCGGCCAAGCTCGACCCTCCATGTTCAGCTGGAGACCGAACACTTGCATGAGAAACTCGCAGGCGGAGCGCAGCGGGAAGGGCACGTAGCGGGGCGAGGAGTGGTGGCAGACGACGAGCCCCCAGAGCTTGCGGCCCTTGGACTGGCCGGCGGCGACGGCGTCCTCGTCGTTGTCGTTGATGATGACGGCCATGACGAGCGAGGCCGTGGAGCCCATGTTGCCCATGTACTTGAGATGGCACGGGTGCACGCCGCGGAGGGTGGAGCCTGGCGAGAGAGATGGGCTGCTTCAGCGCCTCGGTTCTGAACCACAGGGACCTGGAGATAGAAGGGGGAGAGGAGGGGCAGTGGGGGTGGAGGGGATGGGGGTAACGGGGGGAGAATGGAGGCGGAAGTGGAGAGGACGCGAAGGGAAAACTTGACAGAAACGAGGATGACGACGCCATGAAAGAGAGACGCTATGGAGCCCATATTGCCCGTGACATTCCAGCTCTCAGCTCTCACGGTTATTCTAATGTGTGTAGGTGTCCAAATACGTGACAAAGTAGGTGTCCTTCAGATGTGTGAGTAAGCTCTTTTAATTGTGAACATTACTCATTCAGCGGCTAGTATGCTTCGTCTTGTCGGCTGACTGTACGTTTTCACCTTAGAAGCCCGTAGCCATTCGGCTACACACAGACAATAGACTTGATCCATCGAGCGTTATAATGCCTGTGCGTGTTTCCAAGTTTCAAAAAAACATGAAATCGAGATCGAGCAGTCTAAGAAACCACTACCAGCATTAGCGAAAACAACTTAAGACGCTTGTCTACACACTCACCGGAGCGGAGTTGCAATCGCAGATCATGCGAACGCGGTTCTTCATGAACAGGAACCGCGACGCCTGCGGGATATCCGTCGCGGGGTAGTGAAGCCCGAGGTACGGCTCCATATCCGACCGTCGGATCTCCGCAATCACCTCGCCGTGCTCATCCTCGTGGAACTTGTAAGTCATCACCCTGTCGTACCCGGTCAGCTCGCGAACCTCCTCCACGACGGCGTCGCACAGTAACCCGATGTCGCCACCGGGGAGGCCCTGCAGGCGCGAAATGGCCTTCGCCGCGAGCTTGTGCGACTGGAGCGCGCCGGCGGCGGTGACGGTCGGGTCGTTGGGGCGCACGGGCTCGAAGTCGATGACCAGGCCGACCGTCAATGCGGTGCAGAACGGCGTAGAAGGGTTTCTGCGAGCCGCGGCATTGCACGGAGACGGGGTTCATCATGGACACGTCCTGCGCCGCCGCCGCCTTTTCGAGCGCGGAGACGGACGCCGGGGTGAAGAGCGTGCGCGCATCAGTGCCGATGTCTGCGAGACAGCAGGAAAGGGAGCGAGAGGGAGAGAGAGAGAGAGAGAGAGAGAGAGAGAGAGAGAGAGAGAGAGAGAGAGAGAGAGAGAGAGAGAGAGAGAGAGAGGAGAGAGAGAGGGAGAGAGAGATGAAGGGAGAACGATAGAGAAGAATGAATGAGTACGCTCACCATCTTTGCTGATAACTTCAGCACACGGGGAAGAGATAAGTAGAGGACGATAACTGAATACCAGCGTGCAAGAAAACATCCGTGTTTCGGTAACGGAATAAGCAGCAAACTGTACCATTCGCAATTCCTTTGTTCTACTTGTGAAGAAGAAACAAAAGCAAAGTTATCTTCTTTTCCCGTCCATCGCCTGTCACATCCACTCACCAAGCAGGCCCTTGGAGCCGACAGTCGGCACAGCCTGCGGCAGCAGGTCGAGCATCTCCGGGGCGTTTTCACTGTACGCAATCACCTTAACGTCTCCTCCTCCACCGCAATCATGCACCCGAACGTCTGGGTAATTCCTCCGCGCTGCATGCGCTGCAGGTACGCCGTGATGGTCGTCGACGGCATGCTCTCCGCGCCGGTGCCGCGGCTGGCATCGACGGACTTGCTGTAGTCGAAGGTGTCGCCGGTGTTGGCGGAGTTCTCGAAGGCGGAGTGCAGCTGCGCGTCCGCCGTGGCCTGCGCCACGCGGATGTCGCGCTTGGACTTGTGCGAGCTTCCGCCCGACGAGCCGGACATGCGCGACGACATGGCGGGCAGATGCTTGGGTACCGGAGAAGTTTAGAATATGGTGGTGAGAGTCGGAGCCTGGTGAAATATTCTGTCTGATGAAAGCGGATAGTGCTGAAGTGTTGGAGCCTGGATGGATAAAAGCGTTCATTGTGATCCAAGAGGCGTATATGCACATAAAAAGAATGGGAGGGAGGCAGACAGAAGCAGTAAATAAAAAGTCGCTGGCTTAGTTGAGTGTGATAAGAATGGTTGGCAAGACGACCGAATGTAAAGGAGAACACCAGAAAGATGCGACATTGTAAATGCCAAGCACACTGGAAACAGACGTCCTATGAACACTACTTGGTACCATGTTAAGCCTAAACGGTCTCCTACCGAACATATGTTTATTCTACTTCAGCCTTTACTTGCATTCGAGTATCGTTAGCTGAATGAAAGGTGGATGAAAAAACAGGAAACCCAAGAAACGCGTGCGATGCAGTCCCAACTGATGCCCGCCACTAAACCACTTACCAACACAGCCTAACGCAAACCCTACGCGACGCACTGAGAGCAAGGCAAGTGACAATTCGTACCTAGTCCTTGATGAGGGAAACAAGCTCCAGCCCTGCAACCTTGCAACTGGAAGTTCTCTGGTTTGAGAATAACAAGCAGACAGAATGCAAAAATGGGATCCTTGGAGATTCAAAGGCAGGAAAGCATTCAGGGGAAACAGGGGAAGGGGGAGGAGAGCCCAGTTGATAGGAGGACGAGGCTGCTGTGCTTGGATATTTTCCTGAGTGCTTGTTCAGTTGAGTTCTAGGAATTAGCAATTAGCTGGTTACAATCTTCGTTTCTGCCGCGTATCCTTTCGTGTCCAATAGTTGCCTTCATTGTTGCACTGGTTTAAACAGAACTTTCGAGATGTGCATTTTGAGTGACACCGCACGGGTCCCAGAGTCACGCTAATCACCAATTCCCAAGGTGAGTGAGGTGGCATTGGCACGGGAATCCAGACAGGGTGTGGGTACAGTAACGGGGGTGTGGATTGGGATTGGGAACTTGGGGGGTCAGGTCAGGTGGTCCGCACAGGAAGTGGGTGTGGGGTGGGCGTGGGAATGATGTGCGGAGAAAATCACGATTCACACGAGCCTGGTGGGCTGCCAGCCACACTGCCCGTAGATGTGGGCGGGAATTGCCTCTTGTAGAGACACGGGAGCTTGTGAGGCGGACCTCGAGACTAGCCAATCACAAAACATGTTGCTTGTGGAGCGCGATTACAGACTGAGTTCGTTACCGAATAAGAGTGGGTTTGCTAGTTACCGGTAAGCAGAGCTCTTCGCCAGCACCGCCTCATGCCAGCAATCACGGCAGACATCTCGATAGAGAGGAGATCCAGTGATTTTCCCGGAACCAATCAAAGGAAAGAGCCGTTTCCAGATCGCTGCCAACAGCTAATCCGTCACGTGATGCCTTACGTCATCGTAGCCCAAACCTGCACTCACCAGGCTGATGTGGACAGAAACCAGTCACCAGCAATTCCTTTTTGGTTGTCGAACCAGGAAAAGGCAAAATATCTTGGCAGTTGACCAGCAAGGCAAAGATAAAGCAGACAGTGGACGGTTGTCGTCATTGAATGCTGTGACTGCTGCATAGCAATTTCCACTATATGGAACAGTAAAACGGCCGTATAGACTATCTATCTCCATCTTCACAATGTCACATCTTCAGCAAATGGACACGCATTACTACGTAGCAATGAAATCTCAGATAGAGTCTGGCCGTAATTTCCAGCATTTCACAACCAATCTGGCTTCGTGCACCGTTAGCATTCATGCTATTGATGTTCGCTTGAGTCTTCATTCACATTGTATCACCAATATTTTTATGTGAGAGGAATGCTCAGACATTGCACATTCACGGTTGGTATTTATATCCTAAAACATTTCGTGTCACCCTACCCAGCAGCCAGCCAAGCTCAGGAATCTCTACTCGATAGTTGTGTCTCATTCTGCACATCTAGGAATCAGTCGCACAACAAATCGCCATACCGTTTGGCCCCGGATATAAGCGCATATGCGCTTATAATAAGTAATGATTTTTTAGGGGTGGCGCTTGTAATTGAGGAACGGCCATAAGCGCCGGCGCTTATAAAATGTCAAATTCCAATTTTGGTTTTCGAAGTATTAAATTGAAGCCCACAATAAGGTGAACACAACTGTGAACGTTGCGCATGGGATCGTGCATGAAATTCCGGCGAAAACTGCAGCGACTCGATTTCCCACCGCACAGAACCTGTCCTGGAGCAACGCACCTGCCAGCGATGACGTGCATCCTGGCGTGCGGCCCAATAGGGTTTACATGCGCTGCCAGGGTGCCACATTTCACCCGAACTTTCGAGAAGGGGGTGGCATATTCCTGCCAGCGCAGCAGATACGTGCCGCGATTCCCTCCTCTGCGGGTTTAGGCAGGTGGGGATCTGACTATGCCTGAAGAGGAACTCAAGCCGCACACCAGAAGGGGTCCCCTCCAAACCCTCATTTCTTCGCCTTCTCTTTCACTTTTTTTTCATTCAGATTCTTGGTCTCGCCCGCCATGCTGCGGAAGCCATGGCGGAATTCGCTGGCACTCATTTCTTGTTCAAAAAGAAGCCCGCGCGTAGGCCCGCCTTCGTAGTCGACGCCGACGGATGGTACTCCCGTGTCCCACCTGAACCACCAGAGCCACCACAGCCTCCATCGCCACCTGCGCCGCCTGCTCCTCCTGCTCCTCCTTTGCCGCCTGCGCCTCCTGCTCCTCCTGTTCCTCCGTCTCCTCCGATTCTGGGATGTCCTCACAACACAGGGGATCCGCCCGTGCTCACGCTCCTGCTCCCGACTGCGTTCGACGAGTGGCTGGAGGAACCGGAAAGCAACAAGGCCCAAGATGTTGAGGTACCCGGCGCACCTTACCCTGGACCACGTTGGGGCCGGCCCGATGATTGCACCACGTGATTTGGCAGGTGTGCGAAGAGCTCTATGCTCGTGCTGGATTCCTACCGCGGCCACCTTACCGAGGGGGTGAAGGAGAAGCTCCGCGAGATCAACTGCGTGCCTGCTGTCATCCCGTCGGGTTGTACGGGTGAGGTTCAGCCACTCGACGTCTCCATCAACAAGAGCTTCAAAGCATCTGTTCGTCAGCAGTACCAGAAGTGGTTTCAGGAGGAGGGCCAAGAGCAACTGACACCTGCAGGTACGTTGTTTCCGTTAAACACGCATGTTTATCCCCCTTTCACCCTTGGTCACTAACATGGCTTTCCCGGGTGTCTCTGTTGCGGTGCAGGGAATCTAAAGAAGCCCCCCCCAGAAGTGGTCCTTCGATGGATTTCACAAGCCTGGAAAGCAGTACCCTCCGACCTCGTCAAGCGCGCCTTCCTCTGTCAAACATTATGTGCTCTTGGCACGGACGTCCTAGAGGACAGACAGGAGGAGTTACAGTGTCTAGCGGCTGCTTCACCTCATCTCGCGTCTGTACTGCTTGCCCCTGAGGGAGACCCGGATGCACTAGACATCCCGACTCCGCGTTCTTACGCAGAGGCCGTAGAGGGTCCCTACTCCTCTCAGTGGCAGGCAGCTATGGATGCAGAGATGGCTTCCTGGAAGTCCACAGGCACCTACGTTGACGCGGTTCCCCCTCCTGGGGCGAACATCGTCAGTGGCATGTGGATCTTCAGGGTGAAGCGGCCGCCGGGCTCTCCACCTGTCTTTAAGGCGCGGTACGTTGCTCGTGGCTTCAGTCAGCGGCAGGGAGTTGACTACTTTCAGACCTTCTCTCCCACCCCGAAGATGACCACTCTTCGGGTGCTGCTGCACATAGCCGCTCAGCGCGACTACGAGCTTCACTCTCTCGACTTCAGCACTGCGTTCCTGCAGGGTAGCCTGCACGAGGAGATCTGGCTGCGCCGTCCACCTGGCTTCACTGGGACTTTCCCTCCTGGCACCCAGTGGAGCCTCCGACGGCCAGTCTACGGTCTCCGCCAGGCACCGCGTGAGTGGCACGACACACTGAGGACTACGCTTGCGGCTCTTGGGTTTGCTCCTTCTACTGCTAACCCGTCGCTGTTTCTGCGCACCGACACTTCACTGCCGCCGTTCTACATCCTCGTGTACGTCGACGACTTGGTCTTTGCCACAGCGGACACTGCTGGACTCGCCTACGTGAAGTCCGAACTGCTGAAGAGACCCACGTGCACAGACCTGGGTGAACTGCGCAGCTACCTTGGCTTGCAGATCACTCGAGACAGAGCACGCCGCACCATTACCTTGACTCAGTCACACATGGTGCAGCAGGTCCTTCAGCGCTTCGGCTTCACGTACTCCTCGCCTCAGGCCACTCCTCTGCCTACTCGCCACTCACTCTCAGCTCTGCCTTCGGATGAGTCCGTAGAGTCGAGTGGTCCGTATGCAGAGCTTGTTGGCTGCCTCATGTACCTGATGACCTGCACACGACCTGACCTTGCATACCGTCTGAGCATTCTTGCACGCTATGTTGCTCCTGGGAGACACAGACCAGAGCACATGGCTGCAGCGAAGAGGGTATTGCGCTACCTGTGCAGTACGTCGGGCATGGGGCTTGTGCTTGGAGGGCGGAGTCCAGTGGTCCTTACCGGCCACGCGGACGCTTCTTGGGCTGACGACCAGGCTACGCAGCGGTCGTCACAGGGTTACACCTTCAGCCTTGGTTCCGGCTCTGTCTCGTGGCGGTCTACTCGCTCGTCTTCGGTTCTCGGCTCCAGTTGTGAGGCTGAGATCTACGCCGGGGCCATGGCTGCACAGGAGCTTCGCTGGCTCACCTACCTGCTGACTGACCTTGGAGAGCCGCCTCGTTCTCCTCCAGTGCTGTACGTAGACAACAAGGCCATGCTGGCCTTGTGTCGAGAGCAGCGCTTGGAGCACAGAACGAAGCACATTGCTCTCCGCTACTTCCTTGCTCGTGAGCTGCAGCAGCGTGGTCAGTTGCGACTTGCGTACGTGGCCTCTGAGGCCAACACTGCTGATGTGTTCACCAAGGCACTCGCGCCTTGTGATCATCAGCGCTTTTGCACCCAGCTGGGTCTTGTGTCTGTCTTGCCTCACTTGCTCTCCTCTTGACTTTACTTGTACTGTGACATATATATATACCTGCTCTTGCTTGTCTAGTTTTATATATATGTCTGTACTCCTGCATGTGAACTGGCCTCTGGCCCTGCTCTTGTGCTCGGACTGTGTGGTGACTTTGTGATCCACCCTGAGCTTGCTTTGCTTTGCTTGACTGGTCTTGTGACCCCTTGTTCTCCCCCACTTTGCCTATGGGGGTGTGTCAAACATTATATATGTTATGCTTGTGTAGGCTACAGTGGGTTAGCCTATAGGGGGTACACAATTCTAGGGTTTACTACTTGTACTCATTTCACTTCTAGTTCATCCATTCCTGTTCGCTTATTCTCACATCCTCACCTGCGGCATTAGCAACGCACTTGACGGCAGTGAGGACCACCTCGCCATGGCGCACAGGCGGAGCCAACTGACGGCGGAAGTGGATGTAGACGACGGCATCATCGCCGACGGATTTTTCGGCAACAACTGCCAGGAGCCCGAGTCTGACGAGGAGTAGGTAGTTCCGGTAGAATAGCAGATTAAGTCTAAAATTGTGTACCTAGGTAGAATACCGTAGCAGATTAAGTCTAAAATTGTGTATAACTTGTAGTATTCGTTGAAGCGAACGATGTTATAGTTGTTGTTTTCTTTTGTTGTGGTGGTAAAAAAAGTGTTAATATTGAGGGTGGCGCTTATAATAAGGAAGGGTACAAAAGGGGTGGCGCTTATAATCGAGGATCGGCCATAAGCGCCATGCTCCAGATAGAAGCGCCGGCGCCTGTAATAGGCCGGCGCCTATATCCGGGGCCATACGGTATATGGCTCCTCATACATATGTGTGTCAAACTAAATATATGCTTAATAACTGGGTGTAGGCTGTAATGGGGTAGCCAATGTGGGGTATAGCCCCTTAGGTTTATACTTCTATCAAAACTCTCTCGATAGTCAATCAACCTTTCTACTTTTCTCAACATGGTATTAAGAGCCTTAGGTCCTTAGGACCGTTTATTTTAGGGCCCACCTACCGCTTCCGGTTACCGCGCTACCCCGCGCCCTGCCCTGCCCTGACCTGCGTAGCGCAGCCCGGCGCACACCCTGCCATGCCCTCTGCTGCGCCACTAGCAGCCCGCGCGTCGCCCCTGCGTGGCCCGCGCGCAGCTCCTACTGGCCCACGCGCCGCCCGCTAGCAGCCGGCGCGACCCACCCGCTGTGCCCGCATCCCGCGCGCAGCTCCTGCCGGCTCGCGCGCCGCCCGCTAGCAGCCCGCGTGCCCTGCGCGCTGCCTTGCCGGCCGCCTGCTACACCCTACGCGTCGTCAGTCGCGCTGCCCCGCAGCCCTGTGCGCCGCCCGCCCTGCTGCCCTGCCGGCCCCTTGCAGCCCCGTGCGCCGCCTGCCCTGCTGCCGCGGCTGCCTGCTGCGCCCTGCTCTAAGCGCCCTGCCTGCACTGCCCTGTGCCCTGCCCACCCTGCCAGCGCTGCAGCCGCTGCTACGTTGCTGCTGCTGCCAGCGCCGCACTGCCCCACCGAGCCCGAGCCGCGCCGCACCACCTGAGCCGCGCCGCCTTACTGAGCCGCGCCATGCTGCATAGGGGCCTGGCATTAGTTTTCTAGCAATCGCTTTGCCTTGCCAGTCCCACGCCAGCAGATATGTCCACCCTCCGCGTTCTGTCGTTCGATGCTGAGGGCCGCCCAATTCAGTTTGAGACCTGGCTCGATGACCTGCAGCTGTTCTTAATGAGCGATAGCAAGGATGACCACACGTCTGGTGCCTCAGTCGCTCCTGCTCCCATAGATGAGCTTAGCGCCCATTCCTAGTGGCAGACTCGTGATCCTGTTGCGCGCCTAGCCATTCGCAATCACCTCTCGTTAGCTGAGCTCACGCATTTTGGCGAGCACAAGACCGCTAAGGCCCTTTACGACGCTGTACTGGCTCGATACTCCTCCCCTGCCACAGCTGAGCTTAGCCGCCTCATGTTGCCCTACCTGTTTCCTGAGCTGTCCACCTTTGCCACAATCGCCGATCTCATTACCCACCTTCGCACTAGTGACACCCACCTTCGCGCCGCCCTCCCCAAAGATTTATGTGCTAAGCACCCGCCTATGATGTACTGGACCCTCCACTTCATAGTCACCCGTCTCCCTGATTCTCTTAGCTCGGTCAGGGACCACTTTCTCGCTCGTTGTCCCACCGAACTCACTATCGACCTCCTAGAGAAGCACCTCCTTGCAGCAGAGAAGAGCATTGTCGCTGTAGCTGCTGCTCGTGGCGCTCCTCGCACCCCCATCTTTGAGGGGTGCTCTCCTTCTCCCCTCGCCCCCTCCTTCGCTACCACTGCTGCTGTTGACTTCCTTGGTGTTGAGTAAGCTGGTGCTGCTTCTGCTCCTAGTGGGAGGCGTCGTAACGACAAGGGCAAGGGAGCCAAGGGTAGCGGAGGTGGCACCGGGGGTGGTGGTGGTGGAGACGGTGGAGGAGGAGGAGGTGGAGGAGGGAGTGGTGGCGGGAGTGCTGGCGGGAGTGGTAGCGTCGGTAGCGATGGTGGAGGCGGTGACGGCGGAGGAGGTGGCAGCGGCGGTGGCGGCGGCGGTGGCAGCGGCGGTGGCGGCCGGGGCGGTGGTGGCGGTATAGGTGGCGGTCGGGGTGGAGGCACGGGCGCTGGCCAGAGACAGCAGCAACAGCAGAGTCCCCAGACGACCCAGCAGCTTCGTGGGTGGCTTGCTCAGCGTGGGAGGTCTGGGGGTGGTGGTCACTGCTCGTATGTCATTCGTACAGGTGACCGCAAGGGTTAGACATGCGAAAGTTCCACACCCATCACCGCTGCTTCTCCCGCCTTGACGACGCCTAGCATGAAGAGATGGGCAAGGACGCTGAGCGCCCTCGCTGGTATGAGCTGCTTAGGGCTGGTGTACACATCTTTGCTCTTGGCTATGATGCTATTATTTCTGCCATGTATGCATTGGAGATTAGTGCTAATGGTGACTATTACTTGTGTGTGCCGCCTGACTCCGGTATAGAGACTAGTACTCTAGGTGCTGGTGAGGCTGCTGCCTTAGGTGCGAGCGAGTTTGCTCTCTCAGGTACTGCGCCTGCTGAGGCCTTGCACACCTTCACGCTTCACTCAGGTGCTTCCCGCTGCTTCTTTCGTGACAGTACCGCACACACACCACTCCATGCACCTGTTGCAGTCTTTCTGGCTGATCCCTCAGGGGGCCCAGTTCTTGCACGGTCCACCAGTGTGCTCCCGTGCCCGGCGGTTCCGTCTGGCTCCCAGTCAGCTCTCCACCTCCCCTCGTTCTCTTCGAACTTGGTGAACACTGCTTTCCTCTAGGATGCGGGGGTTGACACCTTCACCCCTGGTCGGCAGCGTGTGGCGACCTGTACGTGCTCCCATACCGGCCGCCACCTCACCATGTTTACCCGTCGGCCAGGGTTGAGTCTTTACACACTAACGACTGCGCCTCCTCAGGTAGTTGCTACTGGTTAGGTGTCAGCGTCAGGTCAGGTAGCCTCCCCTTGTGAGTGTCGCTCCCTGTCGCACCAGAATTTTCTCTGGCACCACCGCCTGGGTCACCCCTCCTTGCTATGTCTCCGTGGCATGCACCATCGCCTCCTAGTGTCTCGTCTTCCCAGGTATCTCCCTCCCCTCCCTGCCTCGCCTGCGCCGCCCTGCCCTTCTTGCGTCGAGGGGCGGCAGCGCGCCGCTCCTTGTAAGAATGTGATGTTTGTGTAGCCTGCAGTGGGGTACTCTATAGCGAGTACAGCCCGAATCAGGGTTTGCTATATGTACTCAACTGCATGCTAGTGAAAACCCTTATTTCCTGTTTCTCGATTTTGCCTAGCATTTAAACATGCTTTCAGAGAGTTAGAATAGTGGCTAAAACGAGGGGTCATAGCTAGGTAAACCCTAGCTAGGCAAGAGAAAATAGGCAAAGAAGGGGTTGCACTAGCAAGCAGGTGGATACAAATAGGAAACCCTAAGGGGCTGTACTCACTATAGAGTACCCCACTGCAGGCTAGACAAGCATTATATTCTGACACACCCGTATAGTCAAAGTGGGGTATAATCAGTACAGCAAGCAGGCATAGAGCAATAGTTCACAATGAGAAGCAAGGCTAGAGGCTATTACAGAGGGCAAGTGAGGAGAAGGAGAGACTGTGGAGGAGAGAAGATGGGAGGCGATTGCTGAAGATGCAGACACATAGGAGCTGCTGGCTCAGTGGCTACCGAAGCAAAGGCCCGGACTACAGGAGTAACTGGCTCCGCGGAGATTGTAGCCTCCAGACCGGAGCAACTGACCCACAGGCGACTGGCGACTACCGGAGATTGTAGCCTCCGGACTACTAGTGCTGCTGGCGACACGACGGCTGCCTCCACTCAACCTCCCCCAGCTGCCCCACGCACCTCTCACACACCCCCTGCTGAAACCCTAGCTCCACTCCCATGGCACCCCCCTTAAACCCTAAACCCTAGGCTCCCACACACCCACCCCCCTCAGCGACAGCTGCAGCAGTGGGAGACGAGGGAGGAGGAGGAGCAAGGGGAGGAACTTACAACCGCCACCCCCACACCCGCCACCCCCAAACCCTAACGCAGGTAGGAGCGCGGGAAGCAGTAGGGGCAGGTCACGGAAGGAAAAGGGAGGCAGCGGGTGGTCTCCAGGGCGCCACGAAAAAGCAGGGCGCGGGCCCCCCGAGGGCGCCACGGCGGGTGACGGGAGGGGGTCCGCGTACGGGCCCACGAGGGCGGCTCGACGGGCGACGGAAGGGGCCGCGCGCGGGCCCCCAAGGCGCCGCGACGAGGCGATGGCTGGGGCCGGCGCGCGGGCCCCCAGGGCGCCGCGGCGAGGCGACGGGAGGGGCCGCGTGCGGGGCCCCAAGGCGCCGCGACGAGGCGACGGTTAGGGCCGGCGCGCGGGCCCCCAGGGCGCCGCGACGAGGCGACGGGAGGGGTCGGCACGCGGGCCCCCAAGGCACCGCGACAAGGCGACGGGAGGGGCCGGCGCGCGGGCCCCCAAAGCGCCGCGACGAGGCGAGGGAAGGGGCCTGCGCGCAGGCCCCCAAGGTGTCAAACTTATATGATCTAGCCTGTGTAGGTTGTAGCGGGTAAGACACTAAGGGGTACAGAATTCTAGGGTTTCATATTTGTATCACTTTCATTCCTTAGTCAATCCATTCTCGTTCTAAGTTTCTCATGGTATCGAGCAGGTTCCCTAGTGGGAACTTTCCTAGGGCCCACCAAGATCGAGGCCCGTCGCGCCGCCCTTAGCGGCCCCGTCGTGCCCTCCTTAGCGGCCTGTCGCGCCGCCCTTAGCGGCCCCGTCGCGCCCTCCTTAGCGGCCCGTTGCGCCCTCCTTAGCGGCCGGTCGCGCCGCCCGTAGCGGCCCGTCGCGCCCTCCTTAGCGGCCCCGTCGCGCCCTCCTTAGCGGCCCGTCGCGCCGCCCCTAGCGGCCCCGTTGCCGCCTCTGCCGGCCTCGTTGCCGCCCTTGACGGCCCCGTCGCCGCCCCTTCCGGCCCCGTCGCCGTCCTTCCGCGGCCCCGTCGCCGCCTCCCCCCTTTCAGCGGCCCCCTCGCCGCCCTTTCAGCGGCCCCGTTGCCGCTCTTTCAGCGGCCCCGTCGCCGCCTCTTAGCGGCCTCGTCGCCGCCCTTCAGCGGCCCCGTCGCCGCCCTTCTGCGGCCACGTCGCCGCCCTTTCAGCGGCACCGTCGCCGCCCTTTCAGCGGCCCCGTCGCCGCCCTTTCAGCGGCCCCGTCGCCGCCTCTTAGCGGCTTCGTTGCCGCCCTTCAGCGGCCCCGTTGCCGCCCTTCAGCGGCCCCATCGCCGCCCCTTTCCGCGGCCCCGTCACCGCCCCTTTCCACGGCCCCGTCGCTGTCAAACATTATATATGTTGTTGTAGTTATTTAGGCTACAGTGGGTTAGCCTATAGGGGGTACACATTTCTAGGGTTTCATACTTGTACTCATTTTCACTGTTAGTTCATTCATTCTTGTTCAACATGGTATAGAGCAGGTCCTTCCTAGGACCGATTTTTTTTAGGGCCCACCACTACCTACCTACCTACCTACCTACCTACGCCCCAGGGCGCTTCGGCTTTCACACCCCTAGAGGCCCCGTCGGCCCCGCGCTCTCGCACCTAGAGGCCGCGATCGGCCCCGCGCTCGCTTTTAGAGGCCCCGAATCGGCCCCGCGCTTACCCCTAGAGGCCCGCGTCGGCCCCGCGCTCGTCCTTAACGGCCCCGATCGGCCCCGCGTTTGCCCTTAGCGGCCCACGTCGGCCCCGCGCTCGCCCTTAGAGGCCCTGAACGGCCCCGCGCTCACCCTTTACGGCCCCGAATCGGCCCCACGCTCGTCCCTAAGGCCCCGGGTGGCCCCGCGTTTGCCCTTCAGGCCCCGCGCTCGTCCCTTACGGCCCCGATCGGCCCCGCGCTCGTCCCTCACGGCCCCGATAGGCGCCCACGTCGGCCCCGCGCTCGTCCCTATCGGCCCCACCCGCTCCCCGCGCTCGCCCTTAGCGGCCCCAAACGGCCCCACCCAGAACGAGCCGCCCGAACCGAGCAGCCCGAACCGAGCCGACCCGAGTCGTCCAGCCCTAACGGAACCGAGCCGCCCGACCCGAGCCGCCCAGCCCTAACCGAGCCGAGCCGCCCGACCCGAGCCGCCCAGCCCTAACCGAGCCGCGCCGCCCGACCCGAGCCGCGCCGCCCTACCTATACCGAGCCGCGCCGCCCTACCTGTACCGAGCCGCGCCGCCTTACCTCTACCGAGCCGCGCCGCCCTACCTGTACCGAGCCGCGCCGTCCTACCTACCCTTTGACTGCTCCACTGCTTTTCCTACTGCTGCTACCATGGCTAGCCCTCCCGTGCTAGCCTTCGATGCTGAGGGCCGCCTAGTGAAGTTCGACACCTGGCTTGATGACCTACACCTCTTCCTACAGCTCACTGCCAAGGAAGACATCTCACTGTACGATCACGCCTTAGGCCACGCTACTGCTCCTGCTGCTACTGCTGACAGCACTGCCCGCTCACAGTGGCAGACTCGTGACGCCCATGCTCGCTTCGCTATTCGCAACTCTCTGCCGATAGATGAGCGCGAGCACTTTGGGCAGCACAAGACTGCGCAGGCACTGTACACTGCTGTCGTTGCCCGCTACTCCTCACCGGCCTCTGCCGCTCTAGGCCGTCTCTCTCTTCCCTACCTGTTCCCTGACTTAGCTTCCTTCCACACTGTCGCTGATCTCATTACCCACCTCCGCACTAGTGAGGCTCGCTTCCGCGCCGTTATGCCTGATGAGTTCCTTGCCAAGAACCCACCCCCGCTCTGGCTCACTCTCTACCACCTACTCACCCGCCTCCCTGACACTCTACGCTCAGTCAGGGACCACTTCCTAGCTCGCTGCCCCACCGAGCTCACCATTGCCCTCCTCGAGAAGGAACTCCTTGCAGCTGAGGCTAGCATAGTCACTGTAGGTGCCTCTCGCGGTGACCCCCGTACCCCGTTATTTGAGGGGTGTTCTCCCTCCCCCCTTCTTCCCTCTGTCGCCTCTGCTGCTGCTGTCGACCTCCTTGGTGCTGAGAAGGTCGGGACTGCGTCTGCTTCGAGCGGGCGCCGCAGCGGCAAGGGCAAGAGGGGCAAGGGCGGTGGTGGTGACAGCGGGGGTGGCGGTGGTGGGGGAGGTGGTGGTGGCGGGGGGGGGTGGCGCGGGTGGGGGAGGTGGCAGCAGTGGGGGGGGTGGCGGCAGCGGCGGGGGAGGTGGCCGGGGCGGAGGAGGTGGTGGGGGTGGCAGTGGACGAGGCAGCGGCCGGGGTTGGGGTGGTCGAGGAGGTGGTAGCGGCGGTGGTGGTCGTGGAGGCACTGGCGGTGGCCAGGGCCAGCAGCACACTCCATCGCCCCAGGAGGTCCGTAAGTGGTACTCTCAGCACGGGGGGGGGGGGGGGGGGGGTGGCCTTAGCTGCACGTACGTCATTCGCACTGGTGATCGCACTGGCCAGCCGTGTGGGGGACCGCACGCCACACAGCATTGCTTCGCTCGTCTGAACGACGCTTGGCGTGTTCAGTTCCCTCATGCCACTGAGCTGCCCCGCTGGGTTGATCTCCTGAAGAAGGGGATTGATATCTATGCTCTAGACTTTGATGCTATTCTCACTGCCATGTATGTGATGTTTACTAGTGGAGAGGGTGCTGAGTACCTGAGTGTCCCGCCCGACCCGGGCATTAGGACTAGTGCGTCTGCCGCTCCAGGTACTCCCCTAGTACTGTGTCTGCTACCCCAGGTGCTGGTGAGGCTGCTGCTCTAGGTGCTTGTACGTCTGCCCCCCCTAGTACTGTGTCGACTGCAGCACTGCACACCTTCACGCTGGATTCAGGTGCCTCTCACTGTTTCTTTCGTGACCGCACTGCCCTTGAGCCCCTTGCTCGGCCAGTAGCTGTCTCCCTCGCTGACCCCTCTGGGGGTCCGGTCTTTGCGACCTCCTCCACTGTCCTTCCCTGTCCTGCGGTCCCGTCGGGCACACTGTCAGGTCTCCACCTCCCCTCGTTCTCTACAAACTTGGTGGCAGGTTGTGCGCTCCAGGACGCGGGTGTTCACCAATTCACCCCTGCCTACGAGCGTGTCACACACTGCACGTGTGCTCGTACAGGCCGCCACTTGGCTACCTTCACCCGGCAGCCGGGGTCGGACCTGTACACACTGACTACTGCCCCCCCTCAGGTCGCTGCGTCTGCGTCTGCGTCCGCGTCAGGTCAGCTGTCCGCCCCCTGCTCGTGTCGCTCTCTAGCGCACGAGACTGTCCTCTGGCACCACCGACTTGGCCACCCGTCTGTGCAGCGCCTTCGTGCCATGCACTCCCGGTACCTTGTCTCTGGTCTTCCCAGGGTCCTCCCTCCCCTCCCACCCTCGCTTGCTACTCCCTGTCTTCCCTGTGTCGAGGGGCGGCAGCGCGCCGCTCCTCACTCCTCCTCGATTCCCCCGACGACTGCTCCTTTGCAGACGCTCCACATGGACGTGTGGGGCCCAGCCCGCGTCCGTGGTCAGGGTCAGGAGAGGTACTTCCTGATCGTTGTTGACGACTACTCGCGCTACACCACGGTCTTCCCCTTGCGCACCAAGGGTGAGGTCCCTGATGTTTTGATCCCTTGGATCCGCAGAGCTCGTCTCCAGCTCAGCGAGCGTTTCCGCTCGGACTTTCCTGTCCTGCGCTTGCACTCTGACAGAGGTGGTGAGTTCTCCTCTGACCTCTTGGCAGCCTACTGTGCTGAGCACGGCATTGAGTAGTCGTTCATGCTTCCGGCCTCTCCACAGCAGAATGGGGTTGCGGAGCGCCGCATTGGCCTGGTCATGGAGGTCGCTCGTACATCCTTGATCCATGCGGCTGCCCCCCACTTTCTGTGGCCGTTTGCGGTCCGGTACGCTGCGCATCAGCTCAACCTCTGGCCCCGTGTCTCCTTGCCGGAGACCTCGCCCACACTGCGGTGGACGGGGGAGGTTGGCGATGCGTCGCGTTTCCGGGTCTGGGGATCTCGAGCTTTTGTCCGCGATTCGTCTGTGGACAAGCTCTCCTCTCGTGCTGTTCCCTGCGTCTTCCTCGGCTTTGTTCCGGACGCGCCTGGTTGGCAGTTTTACCACGCCACCTCGCGCCGGGTCTTGCCCTCTCAGGACGTCACTTTTGACGAGTCTGTCCCCTACTACCGCCTTTTCCCCTACCGCGCTGCCCAGCTCCCACCCCCGCCTCTCTTCCTCGCGCCAGGTGCTGCTGTCGTAGACCCCCTCCCCCCTCAGGGTGCCGCTCCCTCAGGTGTGTCTCAGATAGACCCGGTCGAGCCTGTTGAGGTTGCTGTCGACTCTCGTCTTGCTGGGGGTGCTGAGCCTGGGGGTGCGGACTCTAGGGGTGCTGAGCCTGGGGGTGCGGACTCAGGGGGTGCTGAGCCTGGGGGTGCGGACTCTGGGGGTGCTGAGCCTGGGGGTGCGGACACTGGGGGTACTGAGCCAGGGGGTGCTGAGCCTGGGGGTGCGGTGACTGGGGGTGCTGAGCCTGGGGGTGCTGGGTCTGGGGGTTCTACCTCTGGCGGTGCTGGGCCTGAGGGTGCTACACTTGAGTGAGACCTCTCCTCGGAGCAGTTGCGTGAGTGGTACTTACAGTACTACAGCCTCCGGAGAGGTACCTCTGGGCCCAGGCGCACTACAGGGACTGGTGCTGGTACTTCTCCTCCTAGTCGGGAGCTCCCCTCTCGTGAGCAGATCCGTGAGTGGTACGAGCGCCGTTGCACACTTCGGAGTGGCGCGCCTCGTCTCACGGACCCGGCTACCGCTGGTGCTACGGACCCGGGTGTTGGAGCTGCTGCTGGTGCTGCGGACCCTGGCGTTGGAGCTGCTGCTGGTGCTGCGGACCCAGGAGTTGGAGGTGCTACTGGTGCTGAGGACCCGGGCGTTGGAGCTGCGGCTGGTGCTGTGGACCCTGGTGTTGGAGTCCCTGCTGGTGCTGAGGAGCCGGGCGTTGGAGCTACGGCAGGTGCTGTGGACCCTGGTGTTGGAGCCACTGCTGGTGCTGAGGACTCCGGCGTTGGTGCTGAGGCTAGTACTGAGGACCTGGGCGTTGGAGCTGCTGCTGGTTCTGGTACTTCCGCTGGGGGTACTGGTGCTGTCCCTACAGTGTCTGGAGTCGCCGCGCGCCCTTTGCCGTACTTCGTTCCGCTCCTTCAGCAGGTTCTTGGTCTCTCGCCTCCTCCTGGTCCTCCTCCCTTAGCGTGTTCACAGCCTGTCCCGTCACAGTTACAGCTGCAGCCGGCCTCCCCACTACTTGCTCCTTCTCCTTACACTGGTCCTACTGGCGGTCTTACTGAGCGTCGTGAGTCTGCATCTCGTCCTGCGTCGCCTGTCAGTCCTGCTAGCGCTAGTGCTTGTAGTTCGCGTCAGCGTCCTCCTCCTGCCCCTGGCACGCACCGGATGTCTCTCCGTCCGTCTACTGCTCCTCTGCGTGCCCCTTTGCCTTCTCCTCCTGCGTCCTCTCTTCCTGCTCTCGCCGACCCTGCGTCAGACTCTCTTCGTGCTGCCAGTCCTACTGTCACGCGTCTCCTTGCTACTGCCGTCACTGACCCTTCTTTCGAGTCTTCTGCTGCGTCTGCCCTAGTTGCTGAGCTCGTCGACTTTGCTGCTCACTGTCGCCTAGACTACGCTGCGAGTCTTGTCGCTGAGTCTCAGTCTGTCTGTCCTCCGTCCGTCGGGGGTGCGTGTGCCCTTGGCACGGACGTCCTTGAGGACAGGCAGGAGGAGTTCCAGTGGTTGGCCGCTGCTTCACCTCATCTCATGTCCGTACTGCTTACCCCTGAGGGAGACCCGGATCCCCTTCACATCCCGACTCCGCGCTCTTACGCGGAGGCGATAGAGGGTCCCTACTCCTCTCAGTGGCAGGCAGCTATGGATGCAGAGATGGCTTCCTGGAAGTCCACAGGCACCTACATTGACGCTGTCCCCCCTCCTGGGGCGAACATCGTCAGTGGCATGTGGATCTTCAGGGTGAAGCGGCCGCCGGGTTCTCCGCCTGTCTTCAAGGCGCGTTACGTGGCTCGTGGCTTCAGTCAGCGGCAGGGAGTTGACTACTTTCAGACCTTCTCCCCCACCCCGAAGATGACCACTCTTCGGGTACTCCTGCACGTTGCTGCTCACCGGGATTACGAGCTTCACTCTCTCGACTTCAGCACAGCTTTCTTGCAGGGCAGCCTGCACGAGGAGATCTGGCTGCGTCGCCCACCTGGCTTCACTGGGTCTTTCCCTCCCGGTACCCAGTGGAGTCTCCGCCGTCCAGTCTACGGTCTCTGCCAGGCGCCACGTGAGTGGCACGACACACTGAGGACTACGCTTGCGGCTCTTGGGTTCGCTCCTTCTACTGCCGACCCGTCGCTGTTTCTGCGCACCGACACCTCTCTGCCGCCGTTCTACATCCTCGTGTACATCGACGACTTGGTCTTTGCCACAGCTGACACTACTGGACTCGCCTACGTGAAGTCCGAGCTGCAGAAGAGACACACGTGCACTGACCTGGGTGAACTGCGCAGCTACCTTGGCTTGCAGATCACCCGGCACAGAGCACGCCGCACCATCACCCTGACTCAGTCACACATGGTGCAGCAGGTCCTTCAGCGCTTCGGCTTCACGTACTCCTCGCCTCAGGCCACTCCTCTGTCTACTCGCCACTCGCTCTCAGCTCTGCCTTCGGATGAGTCCGTAGAGTCGAGTGGCCCGTACCCAGAGCTTGTTGGCTGTCTCATGTACCTGATGACCTGCACACGACCTGACCTTGCATACCCTCTTAGCATTCTTGCACGCTATGTTGCTCGTGGGAGACACCGACCAGAGCACATGGCTGCAGCGAAGAGGGTGTTGCGCTACTTGTGCAGTACGTCGGGCATGGGGCTAGTGCTTGGAGGGCGAAGTCCAGTGGTCCTCACTGGACACGCAGACGCTTCTTGGGCTGACGACCAGGCTACGCAGCGGCCGTCAAAGGGTTACACCTTCAGCCTTGGTTCCGGCTCTGTTTCATGGCGGGCTACTCGCTCGTCTTCTGTTCTCGGCTCCAGTTGTGAGGCTGAGATCTACGCAGGGGCCATGGCTGCTCAGGAGCTTCGCTGGCTCACCTACCTGCTGACCGACCTTGGAGAGCTGCCTCGTTCTCCTCCAGTCCTGTACGTCGACAACAAGGCCATGCTGGCCTTGTGTCAAGAGCAGAGACTGGAGCACAGAACAAAGCACATTGCTCTCCGCTAATTCCTTGCTCATGAGCTACAGCAGCGTGGTCAGTTGCGACTTGCGTACGTGGCCTCCGAGGCCAACACTGCTGATGTCTTCACCAAGGCACTTCCGCCTTGTGATAATCAGCGCGGCTGTACCCAGTTGGGTCTTGTGTCTGTCTTGCCTCACTTGCTCTCCTCTTGACCCTCTTTGTGCTGTTACATATATAAATTGCTGCTCTTGCTTGTTTAGTCTTATATATATATGTACTCCTGCATGTGAACTGGCCTTGTGGCCTTGAACTTGTGCTCGGATTGTGTGGTGACGTTGTGATCCACCCTGAGCTTGCTTTGCTTTGCTTTACTTGACTGGTCTTGTGACCCCTTGTTCTCCCCCACTTCGCCTATGGGGGTGTATCAAACATTATATATGCTGTTGTAGTTAGCTAGGCTACACTGGGTTAGCCTATAGGGGGTACACATTTCTAGGGTTTCATACTTGTACTCATTTTCACTGTTAGTTCATTCATTCTTGTTCAACAGTCGCCGCTCCTTCGCGGCAGCGACGCCGCCCTTCACGGCCCCGCCGAGCCGCCTTTGCTGCCGACCCAACAAGCCGCCGAGGCGGTGAGCCGATGAGCCGCCGAGCCGCCGAGCTACCGAGCCGCCGAGCCGCCGAGCTTCCGAGCCGCCTTTTCCGCCGAGCTGCCGAGCCGCCTTTGCCGCCAAGCCGCCTTTGCCACCGAGCCGCCGAGCCGCCTTTGCCGCCGGGCCGCCGAGCCGCACTGCAGCTGAGACGCCGCCGCCTACTAGCCTGCCCCGGAGCGCCTTACTTGCCTGGTAAGAGCAGCGCCTCTGCCACTGCACTTCCCTAACCCACCGTGCTCACTGCCTCTCTATGGCTATCATGGCCACCCCTAGTGTTCTCACCTTTGACGCTGAGGGTCGGGCTTTTGACTTTGAGGTCTGGGTAGATGATCTGCAGCTCTTCCTACAGTGCGATAGGGCACACGGTCTCTCCCTGTTTGACCTCACTTCTGGTGCCTCTCCTGCCCCTGCTGCTGATGCTGACGCCACTGTTCACTCACAGTGGGCCACGCGCGATGCTGCTGCCCGCCTTGCTGTGCGCCGCCACTTACCGACCGCTGAGCGTGCGCATTTTAGTCAGTACAAGAGTGCTAAGACCTTGTACGACGCTGTAGTTGCACGCTACTCTTCCCCTGCCACTGCTGCTCTTAGTCGCCTCATACTGCCGTACCTCTTCCCTGGCCTCGCCGCTTTTCCCACAGTCGCTGACCTCATTACGCACCTTCGCACAAGTGACACTCGCTACCGCGCTGCGCTTCCTGCTGAGTTCTGCGCCAAGAACCCCCCCCCTATGTACATCACCCTCTACTACATAGTCACCCGGCTCCCTGACACCCTTCGCTTGGTCAGGAACCACTTTCTCTCTGTGTGCCCCACCACTCTCACCGTTGACCTCCTCGAGGAGCGCCTCCTAGCAGCAGAGAAAGGTATAGTCGCTGTAGGAGCCTCTCGTGGTGACCCTCGTACCCCTGTCTTTGAGGGGTGCTCCCCCTCTCCCCTCTTGCCCTCTCTTGCCTCTGCTGCTGCAACCGACCTCGTTGGTCTTGAGTCGGTCGGTGCGGCGTCTGCCCCTAGCGGGAGACGCCGCTCAGGCAAGGGCAAGGGGGGCAAGGGCGCTGGAGGAGCTGGCGGGGGTGGTGGAGGTGGCGGTGGAGGCGGCGGAGGGGGTGGGGGTGGCGGTGGGAGTGGTGGCGGGGGTGGGGGTGCTAGTGGCGGCAGTGGAGGCAGAGGAGGAGGCGGTGGTGGCGGTGCGGGCGGAGGTGGCGGAGGTGGAGGCGGTGGTGGAGGTAGCGGCGGCGGAGGTGGAGCTGGTCGGGGCGGCTCTACGCAGAGGGCCGGCTCCGGTGGTGGTCAGCGCCAGCAGCAGCAGCAGCAGCAGCGCACTCGTGAGACCTCTTCCCCCCAGCAGCTTCGTGAGTGGTACACTGCTCGTCAACGGGGTGGGAGTGCTGGCCCCTGTACCTACGTCCTCTGTAACGGCGACCGTACGGGTGAGCAGTGTGGGGGTCTGCACTCCACCCAGCGCTGCTTCGGTCGTCTGACGGATGCTTGGCGTCACCAGTTCCCCGACGCTACAGAGATCCCTCGCTGGGGCGAGCTGTTTAGGGCGGGTGTTGCGATCTTTGATCTTGATTATGATGCTATTCTTGCTGCCATGTATGCTGTGACTATTAGTGATGAGGGTGACTGTTACCGGTGTTTTCCGCCTGACCCGGGCATTGTTGCTGCTGCTCTAGGTGCTGGTGAGGCTGCTGCTCTAGGTGCCAGTGATTCTGCTACCCCAGGTGCTGGTGAGTCTGTGCTCTCAGGTTCCGCGTCGGCTACGGCCACCCACACCTTCACCCTTGACTCGGGTGCTTCCCGCTACTTCTTTCGAGACCACACCACGCTCATGCCGCTTAGTCGGCTAGTGACAGTCTCCCTGGCAGACCCCTCTGGGGGTCCTGTCCTTGCCCACTTCTCCACTATCCTACCGTGTCCAGGGGCCCCTTCTGGCACCCTGTCTGGTCTTGACCTCCCTTCGTTCTCTACGAACTTGGTGAGTGGTGCTGACCTCCAGGATGCAGGGGTTCACCACAGTCAGCGAGCGACCCACTGTACCTGTGCTCAGACGGGCCGTCACTCGGCCACGTTTACCCGTCAGCCGGGGTCGAGCCTGTACACACTGACTACTGAGTCTCCTCCAGTCGCTCAGTCTGGTCAGGTAGCTACGTCAGGTCAGGTGTTTGCTGCGGCGTCCAGGTCTGGCCCTGAGTCTGCCCCCTGCTTGTGTCGTCTCCTGTCTCACCAGACTCTCCTCTGGCACCACCGCCTTGGTCACCCCTCCCTGCCTTGTCTTCGAGGCATGGCTTCCCATGTCCTTGTCTCTAGTCTTCCCCGGTCCCTCCCTCCCCTTCCTCCGGGGCCTGCCCCCACCTGTGTTCCCTGCGTTGAAGGGCGGCAGCGCGCTGCTCCTCACTCCTCCGAGTTCCCTCCGACAGAGGCTCCGCTGCAGACGCTTCACATGGACGTGTGGGGGCCAGCCCGCGTCCGTGGACAGGGTCACGAGCGTTACTTTTTGCTGGTGGTTGATGACTACTCGCGTTACACCACGGTCTTCCCTTTGCGCCGCAAGGGTGAGGTCACTGAGGTGTTGGTGAGGTCACTGAGGTGTTGATCGCCTGGATCCTCGCAGCTCGTCTCCATCTCAGAGAGAGTTTCGGCTCGGACTTTCTTGTTCTGCGTCTGCACTCCGACAAAGGCGGAGAGTTCTCCTCTGAACTTCTGCGAGCCTTCTGTCGTGCACGAGGCATCCGCCAGACTTTCACGCTTACGGACTCTCCACAGCAAAATGGGATTGCTCAGCACCGCATTGGCATGGTCATGGACGTCGCTCGTGCGTCCATGGTCCATGCGGCTGCCCCCCATTTTCTGTGGCCGTTTGCGGTTCGGTACGGGGCGCATCAGATCAACCTTCAGCCCCGGGTCTCCATGCCGGAGACTTCCCCTACTCTGCGGTGGACGGGGAAGGTTGGCGATGCGTCTGCGTTCCGTGTCTGGGGATCTCGGGCCTTTGTTCGCGACTTGTCTGCGGACAAGCTGTCCCCTCGTGCTGTTCCCTGCGTCTTCCTTGGCTTCCCCCCTGATGCGCCAGGCTGGCAGTTCTACCACCCCACCTCGCGCCGTGTTCTGTCCTCCAAGGACGTCACGTTTGACGAGTCGGTTCCCTACTACCGTCTCTTCCCCTACCACACTACGTCCCTCCCCCCCCCCGCCGCTCTTCCTTACGCCAAGTCCCCCTCCGGTAGACCCCCTCCCCCCTCAGGGTCCTGCCCCCTCAGGTGTGTCCCAGGTAGACGAAGTCGAGCCTGTCGAGGTAGCTGTTGACTCTGGTGCTGCTAGGGGTACCGAGCCTGCGGGTGCGGGGTCTGGGGGTGCTAAGCCTGCGGGTGCGGGGTCTGGGGGTGCTGAGCCTGGGGGTGCTGCGTCTGGGGGTGCTGAGCTTGGGGGTGCCTCGCCTGGGGGTGCTGAGCCTGGGGGTGCTGCGTCTGGGGGTGCTGCGTCTAGGGGTGCGGAGTCCGAGGGTACTGGGCCTGCTCGTGTGGCGCCTGGTGGTGCTGGGCCTGGCGGTTCTTAGGGTGCTTCGTCCCGGCGGGAGCTACTCTCTCCACAGGAGCTTCGTGAGTGGTTTGCCCGACGCTGGAGGCGTACTGCTGGAGCTGGAGAAACTGCAGGCGCTGGAGGTTCTGCTGCTGCTGAGGGTGCTCGTGCCACGGGTCCCAGAGGTGCTCGTACTGGGAGTACTGGAGCTGCTGGGCCTGCGGGTGCTTCTAGTACTGGAGCTGGTGGTGCTGCGGGCGTCGGTGCTACTGGGGGTGCTAGAGCTGGTGGACCTGCTGTATCTTCTGGTGGTCCAGCTGGAGCTGGAGCTGCTGGGGGTGTTGGCGCTGAGGGTGTTTCTCGTGCTGGTGCCTCTAAGGGTGCTGGAGTTGGCGCTGCTGGAGCTGGGGGTGCTGCTGGCGCTGGTACTGTCGTTCGGGGTGCTGGTGCTATCCCTTCTGGTGCTAGTGGTGCTGAGCGGCCGCGGCCGTACTTCGTTCCGCTCCTTGAGCAGGTTCTTGGTCTTCCGCCCTCTGCTAGTCCGGCTCCTCCCTTAGAGTGTCCACCGCCTTTCCAGTCCGAGTCACAGTTACAGCCTACCTCTCCTCTGCCTGCTCCTTCTCCCTACGCTGGTCCTACCGGAGGTCTTGCTGAGCGTCGTGAGCAGTCTCGTCCTGCGTCGCCTGTCCGTGCTGCTCGCACTAGTCGTCATGGTTCGCATCAGCGTCCTCCCCCTATCCCCGGCACGCACCGGATGTCTCTGCGTCTGTCCACTGCTCCTCTGCGTGCCCCTTTGCCTTCTCCTCTTGAGTCCGCTCTTCCTGCTCTTGCTGACCCGGAGTCGGACTCCCTTCGTGTTGCCCGTCCTACTGTCACCCGTCTCCTTGCTACTATCAACACTGACCCTTCCTTTGAGTCCACTGCTGCGTCTGCCCTAGTTGCTGAGCTTGTCGACTTCGCTGCTCGCTGTCGCCTAGACTACACTGCTAGTCTTATCGCTGAGTCTGAGTCTGTCTGTCCTCCGTCCGTCGGGGGTGAGTGTGCTCTTGGCATGGACGTCCTTGAGGACAGGTAGGAGGAGTTCTAGTGTCTTGCAGCTGCTTCACCCCATCTCGTGTCCATTTTACTTGCCCCTGAGGGAGACCCGGATGCACCAGACATCCCGACTCCGCGCTCTTACGCGGAGGCGATAGAGGGTCCCTACTCCTCTCAGTGGCAGGCAGCCATGGACGTAGAGATGGCTTCCTGGAAGTCCACAGGCACCTACGTTGACGAGGCTCCCCCGCCTGGGGCGAACATCGTCAGTGGCATGTGGATTTTCAGGGTGAAGCGGCCGCCGGGTTCTCCGCCTGTCTTCTAGGAGCGTTACGTGGCTCGTGGCGTCAGTCAGTGGCAGGGAGTTGACTACTTTCAGACCTTCCCTCCCACTCCGAAAATGACCACTCTTCGGGTACTGCTGCACATAGACGCTCACCGTGTCTACAAGCTTCACTCTCTTGACTTCAGCACTGCTTTCTTGCAGGGCAGCCTGCACGAGGAGATCTGGCTGCGCCGCCCACCTGGCTTCACTGGGAATTTTCCTCCTCGCACCTAGTGGAGCCTCCGGCGGCCAGTCTACGGTCTCCGCCAGGCACCTCGTGAGTGGCACGACACACTGAGGACTACACTTGCGGCTCTTGGGTTTGCTCCTTCTACTGCCGACCCGTCGCTGTTTCTGCGCACCGACACTTCTTTGCCGCCGTTCTACATCCTCGTGTACGTCGACGACTTGGTCTTTGCCACAGCTGACACTGCTGGACTCGCCTACGTGAAGTCCGAGCTGCAGAAGAGACACACGTGCACAGACCTAGGTGAACTGCGCAGCTACCTTGGCTTGCAGATCACCGGGGACAGAGCAGAGCGCACCATCACCCTTACCTAGTCACACATGGTGCAGCAGGTCCTTTAGCGCTTCGGCTTGACGTACTCCTCGCCTCAGGCCACTCCTCTGTCTACTCGCCACTCGCTCTCAGCTCTGCCTTCGGATGAGTCCGTAGAGCCGAGTGGCCCGTACCCAGAGCTTGTTCGCTGCCTCATGTACTTGATGACCTGCACACGACCTGACCTTGCATACCTTCTTAGCATTCTGGCACGCTATGTTGCTCCTGGGAGACACCTCCCTGAGCACATGGCTGCAACGAAGAGGGTGTTGCGCTACTTGTGCAGTACGTCAGGCATGGGGCTAGTGCTTGGAGGGCGGAGTCCAGTGGTCCTCACTGGTCACGCAGACGCGTCTTGGGTTGAAGACTTGGCTACGCAGCGGTCGTCACAGGGTTACACCTTCAGCCTTGGTTCCGGTTCTGTTTCCTGGCGGTCTACCCGCTCTTCTTCTGTTCTGAGCTCCAGCTGTGAGGCTGAGATCTACGCGGGGGCCATGGCTGCACAGGAGTTACGCTGGCTCACCTACCTGGTGACTGACCTCGGAGCCGCCTCGTTCTCCTCCAGTTCTGTACGTAGACAACAAGGCCATGCTGGCCTTGTGTCGAGAGCACAGACTGGAGCAGAGAACAAAGCACACCCCTCTTCGCTACTTCCTTGCTGCAGCAGCGTGGTCAGTTGCGCCTTGCTTACGTGGCCTCTGAGGCCAACACTGCTGATATCTTCACCAAGGCACTCGCGCCTTGTGATCATCAGCGGTTCTGTACTCTGTTAGGTCTTGTGCCTACCTTGCCTCACTTGCTCACTTCTTGACCTTGCTTGTACTGTTACATATATATCTGCCTGCTATTGCTTGTTTAGCATTATATATATGTTATCAGGCATGTGAACTGGCCTTGTGGCCTTGAACTTGTGCTCAAAATGTGTGGTGACGTTGTGATCCACCCTGAGCTTGTTTTGCCTTGCTTTGCTTGACTGGTTTTGTGACCCCTTGTTCTCCCCCACTTTGCCTATAGGGGTGTGTCAAACTTATATGATCTAGCATGTGTAGGCCGTAGCGGGTCAGACACTAAGGGGTACACAATTCTAGGGTTTCATATTTGTATCACTTTCATTCCTTAGTCAATCCATTCTCGTTCTAAGTTTCTCACAAGGCGCCGCGACGAAGTGACGGGAGGGGCCGGCGCGCGGGCCCCCAGGGCGCCGCGACGAGACGACGGAAGGAGGGCGACAAGCGGGCCCCTAGGGCGCCGCACGAAGCAGGAAATCGCCGCGCGCCTCGGGGCGCACGGCGGGCAGAAAACCGCGGCGCGCCCCGAGCGCGTGGTGTCGGAACATTATATAGCTTATACATTTGTGTAGGCTGTAGTGGGGTATCCCATAGGGGGTACAACCCAATTAGCGTTAGTACTTGTACCCACTTCATTCATAGTCCACTCATCCTCGTTTCAGTTTTCTCATGGTATCATAGCAGGTTCCCTCGTGGGAACTGTTCCTAGGGCCCTACTACTGCTTCC